CTAATTTGTACATATACAATAGATGTTTAAGGCAAGCAGAGACTTTGAATCTAAATTTTTGAAGGGAAAATTACACGTATAAATAAATATATACTTGTTAATTAGATAGCATAGCTATAGTTTGCCTTAATTACAATTCGCGGCCTACTTTTAGCTATAATTACGTGGCTCAGCTTTTTAGTTTTATATAATTCGCACGTTTGTATAATTCGAAGTTTGTGTAATATAATTTATATAACCTTTGTATAACTCGAATTTTGTATAATATAATGTGTATAACTGTTTACACTTCTGATGTTTGTAATTGTATAATTCGTTATTTCGAGTTAATACAAAAATAACTGAATTATACAAATATACCCGCGAATTATACAAATGAGACAGTTTAAACTATAGCTACAACCCGTAATATGCAAACTATAGCTATGGAGCATAATTAAGTTTATTATGGTGGCTATTTGCGAAAGTTCCCCATTTTTGAATATAGGCAAACTTGTAGCCGACACTGTATATATAGTAGTCGTTGATGTTTAGCCCAAAAAGAAAAGTAGACAAGGGCAAAGTATTGTGTTCCAATTTCCAGGCTTATATCTTGGGTTTAGGAGGAAAAGCCCAATATGCAACCATTCCTATATTTCTTCGGACCCAAGATTTGATTTGTACTCCTATTTTTCTTCGCTGTTAATTCCTACTTGATTGAAAACTATTTTTATTTAGTTAAAAAATAAAAAGTTGTTTCTCCTTTGATTTAGTTATTTTTATGTATTTATTAATTCAGGAAAAAAGAAAATAGTGAACAGTAACTTGAACATTTGCTCCTAAAGTATAAGTAAGAAGTAAAAACTTGAACATTCAGTATAATGGAAAATGAGACATCGTGGTTCTTTCAGTCTGAATGTAAGTATAACAATTTGAAACGAGTTGCCATAAATCCTAATCAACATCAACCTACCAATGGTCCTGCTTCTTGACAGTGTAAATATCTAGTATAGTTATTGGTTCGAATAGACATGATTTTTCATATAATATTTTTAAAAGATTACTCAACGACTATGAACTGATCATAACTCAAATATTTCCATGTGGATAGTCAATGCAAATCAAAACAAATTGTTAATTAGGGAAATTAAGAAGATTGCGTGCCTCATTGTTTCCGCTGGTTAGTTAACAGCCTTACATGTTGTAGTTTTACAAGAAACTAAATTAACACATGCACTAATACTATAATTTCCAAGCCGTTCAACCACATAAATAATAATCATGTAAAGAAGCTTCTATATAGATAAATTACTATTATTTTTCTCTTCAACTCCACTAATGTCCTAATTTTAATTTTATATTTATATATCTATGTTCTGAGATTTTTTCTATTACCAACTTAAAATGTAGTATACCCTTGAGTCCTGCCAAAAAAAATATGAGGAATCAGAGTAAATTAATTACTATATTTTTCTAATTTGCTGCCTTACTTAAATTGGAAACTTAAACTACTCAATTGCGATCTTTCTAGGTCTAACAACTCTCTATTCAAATCAAATACACTTTCTCCTATTGAGTGTCTTTAAGTAACAAATTCTCCTTGTTTCAACTAATAGCTAATTGTTACTACTACTCATGTGATACGTAAATTGTTGAATTATTTTATTCAGATTTTTATAAAATGTACATTTATATTGCATGGCATCTTAACTTGACAATGAATAAAATCTGATGTCAGTACCTAAAAAAGAGGTTTAAAGTACACAAGTTATGTTATTTGAACTCTATTTGAACCTACATGAACACCACATAAGGGACAAACATTATTTATTTTTTCATCTTAAAAGGAAACTCATAATGAGTAGAAAGAGACCTTCCTCCATTATATTTTTTCCATTTGTACGTAAACTATAGAGGACAAGTCTGCAACATTAATTTGCTTCCTGTACTCTGCCAATAAAGTCTCACCTTCACTATTAAGTATTTACACGACACTAGTATTAGCTTTCAATCAATTCCAATATTATATATTATCTTATATAAATGCACCCATTTCATATTATTTGACACAACTCTAAAGAAAACATTCTAATAATTTTTTCTTGATATATTAAATTAAATAAATAATAAATTTTAATATAGAAGTCAATTAAAATGAAAGGAAGGAAGTAGTATTAATTAGTTGGATTGTATGATATTTGGTGGTCTGTCAATGAGCAGCATCTCTTAGTCATCTGATGAGTTCCCTACACTATTTATTAGTAACATTTTGGTCCACTAATTAAAAATCATTTACGTTGTTTATTAGGTGACAGGTGGACTCCAATAACTGACACTTGTATTGTCTCCGCTGTTATTTATGGTTGGCAGCATTCAATTTTCTTAACAATCATGCAATGCTTACTGTTCAAACATTACTAGTTCATGTTTCCCAATAACCATATCTCTAAAGTTAGAGATTAGTTAGTCTTAATTTGAACTGAAGTGTTAATCTATTTAGTTCATATAAATCGAATTTACTCGTTTATTATATACTACAACCTAATGTAAAAGATCTAGTGGTGCTACCCGAAGACTTAAATAAATAGCCATCGCTGTTAAGAACAACCCAAATCCAATGAGAATTTGCGCGTAGCTTCTGGTCTTTGACATCAAAAAAGAAGGTTGGAATGACGAAAGGGACATGTGAGAATTTGGTCTTAGCTAGTGGAACAAGAAAGACATGGATCTATATTCAATACGCAATCAAAGGATTTCTCCCCAAAAAAGAGAAGAATTTCCCTTGCTTTCTTTTTGCTCCGCTCGTGCATGGCACTCCTTGCTCGCAGAGCGGCATACCGAAAAAAAGAAAAGTTGCATTATGGCGACTACCTTAGTTTTACTTCACATAGCTTTTCCCTTGATCAATTCCCAATTTTAAGGCATAGTTGGCAGTTTAACAAAGCAGTGATAATGCGTTTGTAGGGTGGGCTCCGGTGTGGCCCAACCCTTTCTATTATCTCTACAGAGCTCTGATAGGTCGTGCCTGCGAGGGGTCGCCCATACGGATAGAGAGCGACTCCTCGTATTTTGTGCCTCTCATTGAGAACCGATTCCGGGCTAAAGCCATTGGACAGTAGAGCGAACTCCATTTTTTTTTTTGTAATACTCTAGCATCAACCTTTTCCTCCAACGAACGCTTTAAAGGCGCCCTTATTTATTTCCAGGGAACCGTTCCGTCTTATTGCGACGACCAAGCCTAAGACACGGTCGAGTGGATCAACTGCTTTAGCAGCTGGGCACTTCACTCTTCACTGCAGAGCATCCAACTAATATATTATGCTTTGTTCCTCGCTTTCTTTACTGGTGTGTCTAGGTGAACCTGAAATAGTATGGGTTTCGGGGAATTTAAGGGTGAATTTTCTAAGTAAGCTAGGTCAATGCCAATTGAATCTACATGCTAAGTTGACCCTCCTTTTCCTTTTTTAAGGCTATGTAAAATACGGTGAGCTGAGGTGCTAGAGAGTTCCTTGAAAAAAGGGTTGGCAACTCAAGTACGATTGATGGGCTTAAGTCCAATCTGTCTGGCCTCGCTTACGCGCTTACACCAACAACTAAAGATGCTTAAAGATCAACCGCCGGAACAAGAACTAAATAAAGCCCCTTAATCAGATAAAGCTATTTGGTCCCTAACCCCAGCCGAAAGATCAGCCTCAGAAAGAAAGTTCTCGGCTCTTAAAGGCACACCAAACTCAGGTTTAAAAGCTAATGTGTTTTCATCCCTTTCTTCGGAAACCTATGAAAGAGGACATTCTTAACCCCTACCCCTATAGGAATCCCCCTCTAGAGGGACCGTCAACGTACGCTTACGCAAAAGGATCCTTCTAACCCCGATCCTTAGAACTAATTGTCAGGGGTCCCCTGCCATTGATCCACTCCGCCCCGACAAACCGTGCTATATCAGAGCTGGCTGGAACTAGGGAATCTTTCCACAGCTGGCACCAGAGAAGACTGATTCTGCATGAAAAGCGCGCCTCATCAAGCCGTATAAATTGTTGGAAGAATGAACAGGGGATAAAGAGTCGATTTTCATCTTTTTCTGCTAAAAGCCTTGCTTACTCTCCTTTTCCCTTTCTAGGCACCCGACTTACTAAGGGATTTTCTTCACTCGTATCATATCCTGAAATGCCTTTACTAACTTATCGTATAATGTAAGAAAGCTTTCGAAGTCTTGATAGCCCCTCTAGCATTCGAATATTTCCTTGAAGAAGCCTAAATATGCAATAGTTTTAGTCTTTAGAATCAAACAAGTATCAACCTTCTGCTGGGGAATCATTCGGCGGGTTATATCAAAAGAATATATTTCGACTTTTTTGTTGATCAGGCGACACCCGGATTTGAACTGGGGAAAAAAGGATTTGCAGTCCTCTGCCTTACCACTCGGCCATGTCGCCAAAATGCTACAAATACAAAATCGGTGAAAACCTTTCCCGGATTACTGAACTGACCCACCACCCTACAAACCCCCACCCCCAAAAAAAATTTAAGTTTGTTTTTAAAAAATATTTTCAATTTCAAAATTTATTTTCTACTCTAGTTAAAATAAAAGATATTTCTCAAAAATATTTTTCATTCATAAATCAAACACTAAATTTTTTTTCCGTAAAATATTTTCTACTCACCAATCAAACATGAGAAAATAAGTCAAAAATCAACTTGTTTTCTAGGAAAACATTTTCCTTCGTACCAAACACACCCTAAATTCCATCTGCAGTTCCGTAAACAAAACATTTAAATAGTTAAATTACTTTTAAGATATATAATTGTGTATACATATAATAATGATAAGCAATCTTATATTGTGTAAAAAAAAGAGTTCATTACTTTGTTACCTAATATAATTTAAGTCCTTGTGCAGAAGAGTACGTGCTTGAACAATAAATCTATCTAGAAATATAAATAAACACGCACGAAAGAATAAGTAAATATAAAGCTTTCGACCATATATATTCATTGCACCTTTTATGATGTTTGATTATAGATAAGATGAGAAAACATCTTCACATCCCATATTACTTTTTCTTGAATAATATTTAAACTAGACGTATATCTGATACATAATTCAGCTTGCATTTCGACATACAAATCAGAAAATGAAGAGAGAAAAGAAAAAAAAAAAACTAGCTCAATTTTGTCCAAATTTAATTTAGGTTTATACGATATAAAAAACTTTGTTTGTTTTTGCTTATAGTGATAAAAATGATGGTGGGAAATTATTTTGAACATGTTGAATTATTCCAAATTTGTTCAAGCTCCCTTGCGAATGATTTCTGTCTTCCAACAACAATGGTGATGTGATCTTCTTTCTGGACAACCTTAACGTGTGCACGAGGAATTCTTGACTGTACATTATAGCTGCATTCGACCGGAATAAGTTCGTCATCTTCGCCGTGGAACACCGTGACTTCACATTTTAACTTGTTTCTAACCATGTCTAAGTATCCTTCTATTTTTCCAGCAGTACCACATATGATGTTGTGTAGTGTATGCCATGCTGCGTTGTGTGTATGGCAGCAAAATCCCTCTATTAAGTATGTCTTAATCCTGTATTCATCAAATACATATTGGAGTAATTATATTTGCTAAACAAGAAAAAATAAAATAAATTAAATTCATGAATTATTATTATTCTTGTTTTGGAATATTAGACGATACAAAAGCGGTGACCTTGTCGTCTACTAATTTCTCAACAATATTTGACTATTCAATGTATACGTACGTATCCTTCTTCTAAGAATACAGTTTTTTTTACTAATATTCTTTAGTTTCCAGTCCTTATTTGGTCGATAGTTTGGTGGGGGAAGTGGAATAGTCAACTGAGATCTCCTTCGATAGTCAACTGTGTTATAAGGCATGATGAGTTATAATTGGGAGAAACAACAAATGCTTCTAAGCCAAGCAAAAAAATGATAAGCAAATTAAAAGTTGAGGAGAAGCAGAAAAGGTTGGAGCAGTAGATGCAGTTGGTGGGTTGGTGTTTGAGTTAAAGAAAATCCCATTTATTAGCATCTTCTCTATACACAAACATTTATTACAGCAAAGTTGATGAAGAGCGTCGTTTAAATGCAAATATTTAAGGCACCTTTACTACTTCTCTCTGTTAGAATTGAATCCCCTTTAATCCTCCACTTGCCTATTTGGTTAATTTAATGCATGCCAAATTTTCTCCATTTAACTATATATGGATTTGATTTTTCTTGGGTAGATGCATAGGTGATAGTAGGTCTTTGCATATCTCAACTGTAAAACCTAAAAAGAAGAGAACACAAAACTACTTGGTGCTCCACGTGCCTAAATTAAATGAGGTGGATTGAGAAACTCATCCTTCAATTCTACCTAAAAAAGAATAAAAGGAAAAGAAAGAAATGAGGGGGACCATGCAAATTTGTGAAGGATGTAAAGTCAAGGGACTATGACAAACCAAGTTTAATTGTGTAATTTCATTAAGAGGAGTAAATATCTATTTGTTGGCCTAAATGATTCCTTAGCTCAACATGGGGATTTTAGGCAAATAGTAGCCACGTACAAGTACCGTAAGTTCACATCAACTAGTCCTGAGACAATAAATATTCCTTCCATTTTATATTATTTGATTTATTTATTTTTAATAATTTGTTTTGGCAAATCTAAAGAAATTTATCATTTTCTTTCGACACTACTTTTATCAATAAATGACTACATGAAGTATTATTAATCAAATTAAAGAATATTGTTAGTTTAGTAAACTTTATTAAGAGGAGTGTCTAATCAACGGAACTAAAATGAAACGGAGGGAGCACAAATTAAACTCTCACACAGATGCCACAATCAAGGGTACTCACAAATACATGTTAGTACTCGATACATAAAAGAAACATACAAATTACTCTTAATTTGTTCTCCCTTTCCATTCTGGTGTACGTCTGGATTGGCCCCGGTTACTCTCCCACATTTTTTTAAGACCGCAGATATCTTATCTATTCTAAGTTAAACGTGAAAAACTTATTGTATTTCATGATCATAGGCAAAGAAGTAAATGTGGGTAGGAAAATGTTTTGAAAATTAGACGGACCTGTTTCTGGTAACAAGTTTGGTGAGAAAGTCCCACAAACGATGGTTCTTGCATATGACTAGGCAAACACTTCTGCTTATGTGTTCATACCAACATGCTATGGACGCCCCAAACGCTATCGGTGGCCACACCCGCCTTGGTGCTATTCTTCTCATCATATGTTGCGTTGCTTGTTCACCCTTTGGTGTTGGAAAATATGGCTGTCATAATAAATAAATGTCATCATCAAATAAAATATATATATATATATATGAATATGGCTGTTCATGTTCATGTTCAAAACTGTTATTAGCTCCTTACCGGTGCAATTAAAGTGAGGGATTTGACTGATCCAGGATATTTTACTGCTAGTGCTAGAGCCAAAATACAACCTAAAGAATGTGCCACAATGTGGAAAGATTTCACTTTGTGTGCCTCTAAAACTGATTTCTCAATCATCTCTAGATGTTCTCTTATTGTGTAAAGTGAATCACTTGGCTTTGGACTCCTTCCAAATCCTAACAGATCCACTGCAAATAAACGATACTTTGATTTTGCTGCCTTTGAAAAGTTTGGAAATAATGTCTCTGTCCAAAATGCTGATGATGAAATGAACCCATGAATGAAGATTACATCTTCTTCAAAGTTTGCTGATATATGTCAAACAAACGGATCATGTGTGTGTTAAAAAGCGTGTAAAAAGAAAAGAAAAAAAACAAGGTATTAGTAAACATACCTTTGGCACCATCAACTCGGACAAAAAGTGAATCTTTGCAAGAAGAGGACCAAGAATTACAAGTGTTGCAATCACAATCCGACCACCTAGGAGTAACATCATGAGATTTCTGGCCACCCATTTTGCCTTGGAGCATTTCCACTATGGTGGAATTAACAGTAAAAGTTGAACGGACACTTCCATTTTTCAACCTCTCACATGACTGTTGTATCACACCCGCATTGTCAAATTTCCGGCGTTTCACTGTCAATTTTGACACCTCCGCCATCAATGATGGCCGAGTGTAAAGTGTGTCTGAAATTTCTTCGAGATGTAGTTTACTCGAAGAAGTCAGACACACTATCTTGGACTCTCCTCGTTCGGAGACCAAGATTGAGCCGCTGCTCGTTATGACTTCTTTAATGGAAGAGCAATAACAGGGTTTCCACTCTGCTTCGATTATGAAATCGATTACTTTGTAAGTATAACAGAGGATAAAATCAAGAATGTCGAGGATAATGAAAACTAGGAAGCTAATGGCTTCGTTCATTACTCTGCCTGCTACTATGAGGCTTGATCTTGCATTTTCTTTAATCGCCGCCATCATTGCTTCTTCTTTTTTTTTCCTCAAGTTTGATCACCACAATGAAAAAACAGAGGACTTTTGGCAACAAAAAAATAAAAAAGTAGCTAGTGTTTTTTTCAGAATGGCAAGGCACCCATTAACTTGAAAAAGCTCAAAGTGCCAATGCCACTATAATCTTTTAGGTTTGTTGGTGTGTTTTCATGCAAATTTCTTGATTTGGGGATTATTTTGGGAAAGCGTGTATTTGGAGAAAAAATTGGTGGGAGAGGAGAAGAAGATAGACAAATAAAGAGGGTACGCAATTACTGGTAACAGATCATTAAAAACATTGCCGGAAGACTCTGAAAATAAGGGAAAAGAAAAAAGTTTGTTGGTGGTTGAACCTCTTGCTAAACTTTTAATAATATTTTCTTCAATCCTTGTTTTACTCTATACTTGTGTATTTGTCTTCCTATTTATAGTTAAATGCAACAACTTGACCGCCAAATATAAGAGTCCTCTAATTATGTCTTGTTGGAATATCTTTTTTGTTAGAAATTGGAATAGTATGAAATAAATTGCTTCTACATAATTTTATTCTCTTTGTTATGATCATTGAAGTGACTTGTGAGTTTCGTTTACCTATCAAACTACTTACATTATATTTTATCTAACGGCAAGCACTAAATAATCTTATACACAATTTATGAGTGTTGATTACTTAAAAAAATCATGCTAATTAATCAACAAGAGTAGTTATGGATTCGAGTCACCAAAAAAAATAAAAGTAATAGAAGATTTTAGGAATGAGTCATTTAACTTTGACTCAAGAAATAGTTTCAAGCCGGAAAATAATATACGTGTGTACTTTTTGAATGGTGTAACCACTCGAGTTTTTAGAACAAAAAGAAATTATTAAACTCATTTCATTATTAGATTCGTTTACTTCCTTAGTGTGTTACTGATGGAAAAGAATCCGTTTACTTAGGTTGTGTCGGGCACTTTGCTCCAATTTCAGGCCAAGTCTTCCACTAAAGCGCCGGTCATTAGTTATTACTCATTACAAAGTCCAAGTCAATTAATTTGCTGTTAGAAGAATTTTTTTTCAACCATTTGTCAACCATATAAACAAATTTAAATGATTTGGGTTTGAAATATTTTATTTTTTGGCGTGAAAAATCAAGCGCCTTTTTATTAAAAAACTAATTGGAAAGTTAAATAACTTTTTAAATATAAAAAAAGATAAGTGACTTTGTTCATGAGCTAAAGAAGGAAGCATATAAGATTTTAAATATCTTAAATGCTAGAATTAGATTAAAGTTTTTGGAAAAGAATGAACAAGCTAGTTGTTTTACTCTCTTTTTTTTTCTTTTTCCCAACCAATGTTTAGGTGTTTCTGCTAGTCCCTTCATTTCGCTTTAGTGGAGATGGGAGTGTTCTCTTCACTATATCAACTGATTCTGATGCTTGTTGTGTAACAACAAATATTTCTATCCTCTAGTTTTTTCTTCAATCTATTTTACTTATTAATATATAGTTGAAGCATGCACGATAAAATATATATTATTTACTTTTTCATTGTCAATAACAAAATTAATAATAGAGTAAGTGCGAGTGTATGGAGGAATCATAATTTTACTAAGGGGCGTAAAAAATATGAATATATAAACTCATACACAAGCTAAATGCGGGGAGTCAACCTATAGTAAAGTACGTGATGCATAAATTGCGAGTAGGTAAAATATAAATTGTGGAAATTTAGTAGAATTTGAACTTTAATTTTTGCTTGATGCATCACTCAAGTAGTTGAGTAAAAAATAGGAGGCCTCAAGGCGTCGTTGTATTTATTACGTACCCCATGCCACCTATCACCTACAAACTACAAAACCAACTCCCCCATCACCACCGACTCTCCTCTCTATAAATGTACTTCACTAATATCTTTGACTTGTTCAAAACCACCTTTTAAAAAAAAAATAACTTTTATCTTATTTTCTTCCTTTTTAATGGTCGGACCCTCATGGAAAAATGTGATAAAAGGGAATGGACCTGTGGGTTTAATTTCATTTCAAAGACAAGACTATATAAAGAGACAAATTAAACAAGCCTCAATCGAGGTGAGACCTAATAAATGGAGTAAATTGCATTTTCAAACTCAATTTATAATTAACAAACATGTAATTTGATCCCTAACATATTATATTAATTCTTGTGTGCTAAATTAATACATTTCAAATGTATGGTGTTAATTCGTCAACACATTTTTTTAGAGGTCATGTGAGATGTATGGATGTACCAACAGGCAGAAGAAAAAGAGTGAAGCATTAAATGATATAACGTGTGGCTAGCATGATTTTTTTCTTCTTCTTTTTCCTTTTTTTGCCTCATTTTTAGAGGAAATGGGTGCAAATTCAAATTGCACCACTGAAGGGTCGGTTGTGCAAATATATTCTTAATTAAAAATGATGTCATAGATGGTAGGAAATATGTATTCAGTAATGGATAATCTCACATCATGTTAAGAGTATACAAGAGATTAATATTTTAATTTGAATTATTTTGTCTAGTACTAACTATTTACAAAAAAATCAAAAAAAAAATCTTTCATCAGTACTCAGGTCTTTGATGATTGACAATTCTATTTGCAATGAACACTTAATCATGTAACCTAGCCACCAGATTAAATACAAATGATGCATTAGCCTACTCTAAACACAGCTCGTTATAGAGTAAGCCAGGGCCACTACTCTAGTGTGATTCCATAAGAAAAGACTAAGCATACAACAAAAAGAATAAAAATATGACTGGTACAAGCAAGTGATCAATATCACACAAAAATTTACCAGTAATTATTATTCCTTAAGGGGCTGTTTGGTTACAAAGAATAGACTCTTACCCCGTCTTTTGAGAAGACTAATGCCCCTACCGCCTTTATGGACATGATGACTCGGATGGTCCCCAGAGGGCCAATAGGCTGTAGCCAAAGTATAGGCTCTAAGCTTCACCCCTTCGATCCTAGAGAAATCTTTGGGACTCAATGGAGGAAAGGAATTCATTGATGAAATGATAGAGTCTTACCCTAGAATAAAATTTGGGAAATTAAATCTATCCGGTATTAGCTAAATTAGTATTAAAAATTTATCAAAATTATATTATGATTATCTATCCCTCATGGTTATAAAATTCAGTTATTAGACATGCCGTTAAAATTGTTCTAATTTTTTTTTTGAAGTGTAGATATGCCTGTCCCAATAATAACCTTTAATTCATCTGCCCTTTTTTTCATCCTTGTATCACATGCTCACGTAACATATATAGTATAAATCAATAGCTTTCTTTTACTCGAGATTTTGACAAGCTTGAAATTATACAAAATGACAAAAAACTTGAATGCAATAGGTGATGGTGAAATAAATTTTCCGATACTCGTAGATCGAAATGTGAAGTGTTTTTCTCCATGACCATGTGGTCTGCATTCTGCAACAATGCTTGTGCATAGCTTACTAGCTATAAAGTTAATTTTTTAAGTAATTAAACCGCTATAAGCTTTTAAATTTTATTTTTCAAGTTTAAAATTGGAAATACTAATCTTATTTGATAAACAAATACTTATTCAAAAATAATTTCTTAGAAACGGCTAATAAGTATAGTGAATGAGATGTTTGCTGCTCGTTTTAATTTTCTTGAATTGGTCAGTACTGCTCATGATATGTTGATTTGTGACCCTTTTTTCCCTCCGGAGTCTTGCATTGAAATTTCAATTAAATTTAGATCGCATACCGTAGGGCCATTTGGGATGACGCTTCCAACAAAATTTTCTCTGTATCTAGTGCTCAAATCTGAGACTTCTGATTAAGAGTGGAGCAGTTTTACCGTTGCCCCACAAATTGGTTGGACTTTTGTTTGTAGGAGGCGACGGATGATTGGTGGATCATGTGACTTGTTAATTTTGCTAATCTTTCGGTGCTTAATTGTCTTATCAGTAATCACTCATGTTTACACAAAATCTTTGTACACCATATTTTTGTTGTACAATTTGTGGATTGTCTCTCATGTCACCATTTCATTTATTATTATGATGACTCTAGGTATCTATCTCATAATAACTACTACACAAAATTTGCAAGAAAAAGTTTGTGTTATACAATTGTTCAAAATTAATAACATCATCAAATTAAAGATATGGGATGTGATTATATATAATAGATACATATTTTATTTCATCTAATACAAATTGTTTAATCAATGAAGTGAAGGTACAATATTATCCGTTTAGACGGCCTATTAGACATGTTAGGAGGAAGGTCAATCAATCTACCTATTTTCTAGCAAAAAAAGAACACAAACATGAAGATGATTTGATATTTTGATATTTTGATATTTTGGAGTAAAGCAGTTATGAACAAGGAGTTTCTTTTTATAGTGAACTTAAGTCGTATTTCTTATGAACGATATTTTCATGAGTTTTCTTCCATCGTACCCAAATAAATATATATACATCTAACTCCGATCCTATTATTGTTCCTGCAATGTTTCATTGAAAGACTTGAAACGGCTCAGTTATTGCAGGTAAAATATTAGTCCTTTTGGACCGCTTCTTAATAATAGGAGTACAGTATTTAGCTTAGTTTAATAGTCATTTTAAGACGAAAATAATATTTGATTCCTCTAGCTAAAATACAGTATGCAGCATAGGATTTGACAAGTGAAATTTCAGTAATATTGTGTTGAAAAATTCATGTAGTTATAAATGCCGAATAAAACTTGATGTATGGTTCAACCTTCAAAGTTGGTATTATTTGGCCATTAATTTCCACAAATGGCTTCTCCATTTAAACGTGTCAGCAAATAAATAAAATCATGTATTTAACCAATACTGCTAGTGGTCATGTCATATTATTAAAAAAGAAAACTTCACATTGAAAATAGCTAATCCAACCAAAACATGTTAAAAGTTTTATTATTAATTCATGATATACATGATCACAGTAGTACAAAGTTCCACGACATTGATCCTTCAGTACTTGTGTTAATTACGTAATTGAGAATTAATTAAGACAGCTCTGCACAAAGCATAAATACATCAAAGAGTTGTAAATATATATCATTTCTGTTACTATTTTCTATTGAATTCGAAGCTGATCGAATTAATTGGTGTCTGATTCTTCTCTGGTTCATGCACCATCATAAAGTTGGTATTTGACAATTATAAATAAGAATAGAAAATTTTCGCTCATCCTACTATAAGTAACTCGTTTTTACATTTTATGTCCGAAGTAAATGTATTTCATTTCACGTTGTACATGACATCAACTTCAAGCCTAAGATTCATCAAGAATCGTATCAACTAAGTTATTTTTGGTAGTTTTTACGTACATTTCCACCAAGTAGTTGATACATCTTTATTTGTTTATAGACTAGCTAGTATTTAATTAACTATTCCGTTTCAATATATCAACTA